CAACTTCATTGGCACGGCACGCCGCGTGCAAAAGATCAACGGCTGCTGGGTGCAGTTCACAATCATGGGGGATGGTTTTCTCAAGCTTATCAAGGCGAAAGTCCTCAAGGAAGGAATCAAGCACATCACGATTGACCCCGAAGAGAATGCGTCGTTCATACACATGCCTAGTTTCAACCGCTGTTTCTAAGCGCAAAATCTTCTTGCTTTCGTCCCCAAACGGCCACGTCTCCTGTCCGACTGACTTGAGCTGATTGCCAGCAGGACCGATGGAAACGGCATGTTTGCAGGACTGAGTGCCTCCTTCACCAAGAGCTCCAGCCCCTACCTGTTTAATAGTATTAGCCCCGTGGTGAACCTCAGGATCGGAAAAAATGATCGCTCCTCACATCTGAAGGAATCCATTTGAGGGCCTTGGGATGTCCATGCGCAAGTCCCAACGGGGGCATGCGTCTCGTAGCCACCCGACTCCAGCTTGCAATGCGCTCTTCACGCTGCAAGTGATCGTCAACCCTCGAGTCAACATGACTGTGGCTGAAGCCGCTACCTCTCTAAGGGGGTCTAGCCTTTTTCCTACTCTCCGCAGCGTGGAGAGGCCAAGATTGGACACAGGTCACCTCTCCGGAGGCTGCAAGCGAGCTGTTGATCCTTGCATGTGCTTGACAGCGCTTCTTGTGAGCGCAAGCAGCATTGTGGTAGACTCCGTCCAACCACTCATGGTGCTGTAAAACTGTAGGCGCACGCCCGCGCAACGTCTTGGGCGTGTCCTCAAAACTGCTCTGCTGTTCACAGAAACGGACGTGTAGGTGTGGTTTCCTAGCATGTCCGCTCCTGGCGCCAACACTAGACCCCAGTCCATTATCTGAAGAAACGCTCTTCAACGTGCTCCTAGGCGCAAGATGGTGACGGCAAATGGGCCTGACTACGCTCACAGATGAACATGAGAACTCTTCGGCCACATCACTACCGAATTCAATGGAGGATACTTCTTCCTTCTGGTTTACTTCGAGCCACTCCTTGCTGAAGGATGGGCCCCCTATGTTGATGGCAGCTTCATTGGCAAATGCGTCGCAATGAACCATGAGCCTGCAACAATACTCCCAAATCAAGCCATACCGTCTGGCCTGCAGTTCTGTCTTGTAATCCGCTGCACCGCTCACCGAGTGGCGGTATGCTAGCATATCCGGCCTCCTGGGTGCCCATTCGGCGCCGTGACCTAAGCAGGGGGCATCGCCTTGTCGGCTTTGTCCGCACCTTCCGACCTGTCCTGCGCTCGCGCAGCGTCGCATCCCCCCCTGGCGGGCGACTGGCAAGAAGAGAATCCAGTGTGCTGCGCAACTTGTCTTGCGCATTTTGCGCAGAAGCTGCTGTAGATTCTGCTGTAGATTCTGTTGTGCATCCCTCCATCTCCATGAAGCTCTGGCTCTGACGCGTCGACCTCTTCCGCCTCGTTCTTGGCAGCAGCAAGTGCTCTGATCTGCTTTCTTGCCGCTGTTATCCTCTGAAGAGCTTCCTCTTCCTTTGCCTTGTATTCTTCCATCCTGGAAGAGTGATCTGCAGCCCCTTTCTCGACAGCATCCGCCGTCTGTTGCAGGAAGGCTGCCCAAGCTGCCTCTTGTGTTTGAATGGCAGCTCGCGCTGCGTGCAACTGTTTCCTTGCGGCACCCAACTGCGTCGTGCAAGAATGCAGATCTTTGGTCTGTTGTTTGCTGGCGCCTCCCTCTGCTCGTGCAAGCATTTCTGCGATCTCGGGTGGCATCGATGTGTTGGAATAGGCACCTTTGAGCGCTCCAATCAGTTCTTGGATCTGCGCGGTGTCCCCTGCGTTTGTCAAAGTGGCAGAGGGCAGGGCACTTGACCCAGCACACCCGCCTTGCCATGGTGGTGCTGGATTCTGCCACGCCGGGCTTTGATACACACTCTTGCCCATACTCTTGCCTTGCGCAGGAGTCCAATTGCCCTTCCCTTTGTGACCAACCGTCCACGGTGCCTGGGATCCATCTTTTCAAGGTTTCCGCCTCCGTGGCGAGGCACGTCGGTGGGGAGAGGCAGGTTTCTTGCCCCACCCCGCTTCTTGCCACTGCGAAGGCTGGCTCTGAGTCACTGACCAGTGTGAACCACAAGCCCACAGCATTCCACGGTAGCTTTGCACCATTGTTTGCATCCACCGCTCCGCTCTGAGCCATTCTTAACACTGCCTGTCTTGGCAGGGTTGACTGTGAGTGGTGCCTTCCAAGCACGCCTATAGCGTGGGTCACTTGAACAGCGGCTACTGATAGTCCTGAACAGTAATTTCTTAAGAGCGTACGGCTTCTTGTCCGAGATCTGCGCTGTCTCCTGCGCAGGGTTGTTTCTGTTGCAGGGCAAATCTTGCCCAGGCACTTGCTCCTGCGCGTAAGAGTGTGAAAGTAGCTGCAACCCGGCGTTTATACCCAGGGAACAAGCTCCCAGTAGTATCCAGCCTGCTCGCATGCACTGATAGTACTCAAGCGGGCAATTTGGATCGTGAGAATTTGAGGGGCGTGACTCCCTCTGTTATACGCAGTCAATCGCAGCACGTGGAGTTCCAAAGCGTCTGGCCCAGTAAAAGGCAGCAGCGTTTGGTTGTCTCACGTCCTACTTTGTGATTGTCTCGTTCCTCTTGGCGTGGGCCGTTGGGCCGCACTAGGGCTGGCAAGGAGGATCCTAAAGGAAAACTACTCCTTAAGCCCAGCGCCTCCCCACGCCCTTTTAGCGTTTTGACTTTTCCTTCCGTGGCAGGATTCTTGAGGTGCGATGTCTTTTGTATTTAGTCCGGTGCCTGGACTCAGGATAAATGCTGAGGGTCCGTATCGCTGATGAAATTGCCTTTCAGCATCCTGTCGCTCCGGGTGGGCCGATAGCCGCATGCGCCGTACCAGCTGTTTTTTCCACAAGAAGTTGCGTAATGCATCAGGTCATGTCTGCTTTCTGGCGGGGCTGCCGAGATGGTCATGCAGGCTGTGTTGCTCCCTTTGTTATCCTGCTTGCGGCAGCGGCATGTGCAGAAGTCATTTTAAATCCAAAGATGATTGGCTTTGGTATGGTACGTGCGTGTGCAACGAGGGATGGGGGTTCAAGGCGTTTGCCCCCATATGACTGGCGCATTTTCAAGTTGCATGACATCTGCCTCACAGAACGCGCGTGGCCTACGTATCTCTCGCGGACAGCTCGATGGATTGGACAAGCCTTTTTTCAAATCGTTTTCCCGCTTTGGTTCCACATGTTAAGCTTCTGTTAAAGTTTGTTTTGCCATGTTTGCTGCAGCATGTTCTGCGAACATCACCACTAGCGCATGGTAATCCTGCTGTTTCCCGGTCCCAATTTTCCGTGGTCCTGCTTCAGGTGGGAGCAGTTCAGGACGCCGATGACCACGTGTATTACAGTGTCCATTTGCAGACCTTTGCAATTATACCCAGAACAAGTGCAAGCGATAGGATTTTTGCAACACCTTCCGAAGCCGGGCTGAACTCGGCGAGGGCTACGTTTCCGAAAAGCCAATGGTATACTGTACTGCGTCCAGTTGGCTTTGCTTGGGTGAAAACGGTGTCCGGGCCGGTTGCCGCTGAACTTCAGGTTCGTCTGCTCTCCGTCCCTCGCTGGCTCGTTTGGCGACGAGCTGGGTGTGACATTGTCTTTATAGGTCTCGTCTTGTGGCGGAAGCAAACAGAAACATTACGAACAATTTACCGATTTTACATGCCCAGATGTATTTCATGTTCACTTGTGTTTTGTACTCTTATTTCTACTTGCTCCTGTAGATGAATCTGCGCTACATGTTGAGACCTTTTGGATCAAGAAAATCCGCATGGTAGCGGAGCTTCCGTGTGTTGTGGTTCTGGGTTTCTTGCTTGGCGGGATTCCGTTTGAGGGCCACATTGGATCCAGGTTCTTTCTGCTTTCGGGGTCTTTCGGTGAAATCTAGGACAGCCGTAGCTGTGAGCCATAGCCGTGTGGTGGTTGGCAATCCCACCTGTGTTTGACCAGCAGGTCTTCACTTTGGCCCGCTGATACATTCCTTCGTTTCTTGTGGCGGCAAGCCTAATCTTGATTTGTGGACGTTGCTAGGCGACATCTTTTAATTTCTTGACAGCAAGCCGCACCTAACATTGCTTTGCGAAGTTACCACTTGATCTTTGGAATTACTAATGGCTGCCATCCCAGATTCAGACGATGATCTTGGAGAGCCAGCCGGCCCACAGCTGCCAGCAGCAGCAAGCACGAATCCGATTGCAGCACCATCGCCCTCAGGAAGCCCTGTTAATTTCGATGCAATCATGAGGCAGATGATGGAGACGACCCAAGCTGCAGTGAATGCCCTTAGTCAAGCTTCTTCGACTAAGAATTCTTTGGGTTTTGCAGATGCGAATAAGATCCTGAACCGTCCGTCGAGTTTCGGAAGTGCCAGCCATGACGTTGATCTTTCCACGTGGCATGATTGGAGCCATAGCTTTCGCACGTGGCTTGTGTTCGCTGATCAGGCCTTTGAAGCAGAGTTGCAATCTCTTGAGTCAAATCTTGATAAGCCAGTGGTTATGTCAGGCATGAGTGAAGAGACAGCAGCCAGGTCCCGGAGGCTGTGTGCCATTTTAGGTTCCTTGGTTTCGCGCAAGCCAAAGGCCATCGTCAGGCAGGTTGCGCTTTGAGGCGTGGAGGCAGTTGGTCAATGTCTACGCTCCAAAATCGAAGGTACGTAGCCTAGCTTTGCTGAATGCGTTGATGGGTTTGCCTGCGTTCAACAAGACAAAGACGTTGCGTGAGCAGATTGAAGGGTTGGAGCGCATAGCAACTGAATATCAACGTGTGTCAGGCTCTATGCCAGGCGAGGATATTCTGTTGGGGACGCTGCTCAGGCGCCTTCCCTCGCAGGTCCGGTCGCATATCCAGCTCCAGATGGATGATAGCGCCAGTTATGCTTCTGTTCGAGCCTTTGTGTTGTCATACGAAGTCACTACGACCACCTGGTCTGCTGCCAAGGTTCATCAAAGTTTGGGTGTGACAGAACCGCCCAGTGAAGCCGTTCCCATGGAAGTAGATGCACTGACCAAAGGCAAGGGCAAGGGCAAAGGAAAAGGCAAGCAAAGCAAAGGCAAAGGTAAAGGCGACGGCAAGAACAGCAAAGGTGGCCAAGGAAAGGGCAAGAGCGATAAAGGCAACCGGTAACAATGATGCTTAATGGCCAACATGCTCTCAGGATCTATATCCCAATAATCTTCACGCCGGACCGTAGCAGCTGCAGTTTTAGCGCCCTTCTCAAAGAGCGCGTGGAACGGATGAGCAGACGGTGGCAACTTGACCTGAGCCTCCTCGCGGCGCACGCAACCGAAATATCTGCCCAGTACTTCAGCAGGGTCCATGTCAATGAATTCCCCAAGCAATTCCCATCCCTTTTCCATATTCTTTTCCGGGCCAGCCATCTTAAAGTCATCAACGTAAATAACCAAGAGGAGGTCCAGTTTAGGATGATGGAATACCGAAGGCCAAATGTCAGGTAGAACAGCGACGAAACAGGCCTTAGAAAGTTCCTTAGTACAACGCTGTTCCCAGATGCCTCCGGAGTCGGGATGGCCGTACAGACCAAGACGCAATGGTGCGACAGGGTCCTTCATGCCTGACCAAGACTTTGGCCAGCGATTCCTTGGAAGACGAACCCATGTCTCCGTTCCTTTAAACAAGGCTTGTGTGTACGCCTGCCGTGCGTCGGCTTGCTGTTTTGTGAATCCGGGCTGAGACCCGTACACATCTATAATTTTACCGGCCTCCATGGATGCAGGACTACTACCTAGCTCAGCGAACAACGCATGATCCGAGTTTTCGTCCAACACTTTGTTGCCCTGAAACACGGATCTGCCCTTGTACTTGCGATTGGGGTCTCCTTCTTTCAATTCCGACCCCTTCAAGGCGCAAATCTCAAAAACTCTACCGAAGTGAACCTTCAACTTCTTCTTTTGGGCCTCAGAAGCAACTTGATCATACTCCCGCACCTGTTTCTCAATCCAACATCCCTTGTCTACCAATTTCTGCCACTCCTTGTCGAGAGCAGCCTTGGCAGCCGGTGTACGCTGAATCTCAGGTTGCTGGAGGATCTTGGCTACAAGCGCATACATGGAATCGGCAATTTCACCTAGTTTGTCAACACAAAGATGCGCATACCTTTCCCGATGACATTCAATCCGTCCGTGCGTCACTGGCATAGCTGGAGTAGCTTTCTTCAGCTCCTGATACTCTGCCTCCTTTTGTGCTTCAAGCTTCTTACGGTACCTTTCTGCGTCAGCAGCTCTATCCTTTTGGGACATCATCATCCACGCAGACGAAGGTGTGTCGAGGGGTCTAGCAGATCTGCGTTTGTTACGAACAAATCGAGTACCATCATAGGTGTAACCCTTTGGAACAGGGGAACCATCCGGCATCTTGAAAGGATCCCAACCCGTTTTAGGCCTAGGAGCTTCCGGAGGAGGCGGACCAATTGGTCCTGGCTCAGATGAGTCCTTTTCCATCGGACGGCGGGTACTCGGCGAGGTCTGCTTCCTCAACAGCTTCAAGTCCTGCTGGACGAACGTTGGCATTCTGATCATCAAGTTGAGGGGGCTTCTGGTTGCCCAGAGCTTCCAAACCCGATGCTAGGGGAAACACAAAATCCCCTTGCAACAACTCGACCTTCTTGGATCGAATTATCTTCAGGTCATTGGCTTCAATAGCACCCTCAATCTTGTCCAACGGAGCAACCAGGTACTCTTCTTTCCAAATGAGTCCCGGTTGAATGTGGTACCCTAAGAAGATTCCCTCAGCAGCAGTGGGAGAAAACTTAGAGATCTTAGGAGCCTTGAGTGTTGGGTTGTTCCAAAATAGAACCTTAGCACCAAAAGGAAAAATCCTCACCAAACCTTAGTTGCCAGGGAACTTTGCCGTTGTCCAGCCTGGTGGATGCGTTGAGGGCCATACAACGGTGCTCTGAAGCAAGCGGCCAGTATCGCTCAGGCAACCCGGACTGAACCAGATTAGCCCGTGTACCCTCCAACACAGTTCGGATCTCTTGCTCGATGACTGCCTTGTTCTTATCTACATACTGCCTTGATGTATTGCGACGAATCCCCAACTTCTTCATTGTAGCAATCAACTCTGGCGCATTGTCGCTGTAGACGATACCAACCTCATCTTTCACCTGAAGGAAATGGAGAAAGTCCTCATGGCATTGGTCAGCGGTCTTCGTTTCGGAGGGATAGCAGTAGCGGAAGTTCGTGAAAACGTCTTTTATCGCGAAGCCATCTTTCTGGTCATGAAACCCAAACTCAG